ATTAAATAAATAAAATATTATGTAAAGCATTATATTAGATAGTATAATTTATTATAGATAATTATTATTATTAATGAACTTTATTTTTCTTTTTTTTAGTATTTTTTAATATATATTAGTGAAATATATTTATATGAAATGAAATATTAACGAAATATCTATATATTTTAAATATATATTAACAAAATATTATTTTTTTAAATATTTTATTAAAATATAGTTGACAAAATAGAACGAAATATATTTTTTCTATTTTTTTTTTCTTTGGATTTTTTTTTTCTATTTATTATTATTATTATTTTATTTTTTCTGATTTGTTTTTATTATTTATTTATTTTTGGATAATTTTTATTTTTATTTATGTATGCGTAGTTGTGTACCTGGAAAGAAGGATGACACATAACGCCACGTATATAACACGTAGGAAATTAAAGAAATTTATAATGTCACGTCATTATCTAATTCGACTACTTCAGTTTTTTATCCAGGTTGAGTGATTAAAGTATCTTTTCCGACCAAATTGTCAACTAAATATTTCCTTTCCGTGAGGGACAACAAAATGTATGTTTTGTTGACAACGCCAACTTAGTGTATCATTTATGAAATTTTGCCGGTGAATGCTTAACAAAATACTTGAATCATATTAATGTCAATAAAAATTAAGCATTATTATTGGTGAATGCTTAACAAAATACACCCAAACTTACCAAGATACTCGAGGACAGAATATGAGTAATTCACGCTATAAATCTCATATTCAAAATATGTGTATTGTTCTCTCATATTCAAATCTGATTGTGGTGTTGATTTCTTGCATGACATGCACACTCAGGAGTTCTTAAATAGTATAAAATGTTATGGTGTTCCAAATCATGAATTGCACTTAAAGGTTGGGACTTATGTCATGTTGTTGAGAAACATTGACCATTCGATTGGACTATGTAATGGAACACGCTTGGTGATATCGAAGCGTTTCACTCACGTGTTTGAATGTAAGATTCTAACAGGATCAAATGCTGGACATAAGGTATTGGTACCATGACTTTTCCTAACTCCATCTGATCTCAAATATCCTTCAAGTTCCAACGTAGACAATTTACTCTTATGTTTTCTTACACAATGACAATCAACAAGAGTGAAGAGCAGTCGTTATCCCATGTCGGACTTTACATGAAAAGACCCGTGTTTATTAGTTATGGTCAATTATACGTTGATGGGTCTCGAGTCACTAATCCACAGGGATTAAATATTTAATATGTGGGGGGACGATATTGGGGAAAAGAAAACTACTAAAAATGTTGTCTATCGAGAAATTTTTCAAAATTTTATCATATAATATTGTACTTTTACTATCTAATAATAATGTTATTTATTTGTCATTTACTTTTATGATATATATATATATATGTATATATATATATATATATATATATATTTTAATGTATTTATTTTAATAAATATGTTCCGTGCATCGCACGGGTGAAGATACTAGTATATATATAAGTGGGTTGAAAAAAGAATGATAAATAGTGAAAGAAATAATAATAAATTTGGACAATTTTCATTCATGTCAGTCATACATTTTTGTGGCAATCCCGTAACTAAGTGATCATATCATGACCAAATATATGGATTTGATCACTTATTAAGGGTATCTAAGTCAAATCTCAATCACATAGTAGACTCTACCCCAACTAGAGCTGCAAACGAGTCGAGCAGCTCGCGAGCAGCTCGCGAGCCGCTCACGAGCGCTCAAGTCAAAGCTCGGCTCGAGCACGATGAACTCGAGTCGAGCTCGAGCCTCACAAATCGAGCTCGACGAGCTCGAGCTCGAGCAACAAAAAAAAAAATCAATCCTGCTCGATAAGGCCAATGCTCGACTCGGCTCGACTCGTTTGCAACCCTAACCCCAACCACTAACCATAATATCACTCTCTCACACTCACACACAAAATACACACTAACAATCTGACTCACGCACACGCACAAACAAATTCACCACCACTCACCTACCGCCGCTGGCTTCTGTCCGCCGCCACACCACAACGATCAACCCATCATAACAACTACTTCATACGTCGGCGACCTTCTCCCGACCGGACGGTTGTGGCGTAGCCCGACTGGCATTGTAGCCGTCGCACTCGACTTCGACGTCGACAAACCCCATCACGACGAGTACATTAGCTACGGCACCCGTCCGACGAATGTTGCATGCCAGACAACGTGGCCTACAACCAACAGACAACACCCCTACTAGTTTTTTCTAGTGACTATTGTGCATTCTGACAATGTGCAGTTCGTCTAACACTATGGTGCATAGTATCGGTCAGTATTGTGTAGATTGAACCGATCAAACTTTTGTCCCAAATCGAACGAAACTGAACAGACTCACTTGGTTTATTCGATCGGTTAACAGGATTATCGTAAAAATTTGAAATAATTTGTTACATATATTAAAATTATATTTAGTATGTTAATAATCTTCTTTACTGTTTTTATATCATTATTTGGTTGATCAAAAAGAATATACGAAATACCGAAAACGATAAAGTGCAAGCATAAAAACACAAATGTGCACCAAGTATAACATTATTGTGCAGTCTATTAAACTAGTATTTTTTATGTGCATTTAAATTTTAGAAAATTTCAATAATGAGTATTTTAATTAATATTATCGTTTATAAAATTATTCATATAATAAAAATATATTTAGTATTTATAGTTTTTTATGTAATATTTTATATTATTTTTTGTTGGCAATAATTAATATAAATATTGATCAAATATAAATAATATTTTTTATATATATAGTTCGGTTGGTTTTATTATTTATTCATTTTAATAATATATTCAAAATCTGACTGAAATAACTAAAACACTAATATTTGTTAAAATGCACATTGTTATGTTGATGCGTATTCTCGAACGAATTAGTGTGCATTCGATCTGAGACTATTTTGCATTTCGATATCACTGTTGTGCTACATCTCGTTTAAAACTATTATGCATCCTCGATATTGATTTTTTCATGTGCAAACCCAAACTAACAATGAACCTAGTTAACTGAATGGGGAAAGTCCACTGTAGGACCTGATTTTTGGGTATTGTGTCATAATAGGACATATATTTTTAACTTTTTCACTTGAGGGTTTTATTTTTGAACTATTCTCAATATAAGACCTACTTTTACATTCTAGTTTTCAATTTAAGACTCCAAATTACTTTGTATTTTAACATAATTATGTAAACTATAATACTTTTTAAAGTTTATTTTTTAAGTTCATATAATAAAAAAATAGTAAATATCTTAGTAAAATTACCTAAAAAATAATTATTTCATAATTTACATTTATACAAAATCTTGATGAAACTTATTTTAGAAGTTAAAAAATAAAAATTTAGCTTAATTTTAATCTAAGTATGTGATAAATCTAAAAAATAAACTATTTAGAAAAATAAATTAATGTATTTTACTAAAGACATATATAATTATTTCAAATATAAATTTTAAAATAATAGTATTTGGTTTATATATTAATTTAAAAATATAAAGTTAGTTGGGGCCTTAAATTGAAATTAGAATGTAAAAGTAAGTATTTTATGGAGAATAACTTAAAATTCAAACCCTAAAATGAAAAAAGTTAAAAATCCAAACATCATTGTGACACAATAACAAAAAGTCAAGCCCTACAATAAAATTTCCCCTGAATGAATTTACCTAAATAGTCGAAACAAATTATTATTTATATTATTTAAAATCATTTATTATTTTATATTATGATCATATTATTATTATTTTATATTATGATTATATTATTTTAATATTTTATATTATTTTATTATTATTTATTGTTTTAATATATGTGTATAAAACAACAAATGAAAATAATATATTTGTGGTAATTTATATAAATTATATTTTGGTACATGGATTGAATTAAAAGTTAATAGAATTCCAAAAACTACATATTCAACCCAAGTATTAAAGTGTAATATAATCAAAATTACAGTAATTTCATATAGGCCACTTGAATTGATCTAATTTCTAATATTAAGTCTCTAGGATAAAAACTTAGGTGTCGTTCAAGCCACCTCTCCGGCCCGTCGCCGCCGTCCCGACCACCGGAGAGTCGCCGATCGAAGCCACTATGTATAACTGTCGTTCTGGCAGTCACAACACTGGAGAAAAAAATGGCGTACGCCATGGTTGTGGATGAGCTAATCGGGGCTTTCACGTTCGACCACCGTGACTGTTTGTCTTCCG